TATGCGCAAATCATTTGGTAACTATGCTATACACGTGAGGGTGGCTTTTTTCTCTGATTGATAAATCTAAAGCTGGTAAAAATCTTTTGCTACAATCAAACTCTGTACTTTGTCAGTCACCAGAGTTGGATTTCCCCGCGTTGGTCCTGATGATGCAGGATGACAATTGCTAAAACTCTCCAATCAACAAGTTACCTTTCAGTCTGTAGAACTTCATGCTTACTCCTCGTACTCGTTGGTAAAATGTCAGTGTGAACTAGGGCTGGGCGGTATACCGGTTTTAATTTCCCGTACGATATGAATTTTTCATATACCGTCATACCGGTGCACAGCCGAAACAACTTCTGTCGCTCTTCAACAGGCAGTGAAATATATTGTTCGCCGCTGAGGGCGCTACGGTTGGAGCTAGTTGTCTTAAGTGTATTGAGAGGGAACCCTAGTCATGGTTATAACTTTATAACAACAATTAATAACCCACAACAATTAATAACCCACAACTAACGCTCTTTAACAGGGAAAAACACCACGACACAACAGTTTGTGATACATAAACAATTTGTAACACTAATAATTGTACATTTATATAATTTCACCGCCGAACTGCATGCTGGGTACAGCTCGCTAACAACAGTCTGCTAACAGCTTGGAGAGGCTCTGTCGCTCCAGTGACGTTACATTAAAGAACAGAAAAGATCGATGCAGGATGAACAAAGACTGAACAACAAAATATATTTAGGTCAGACACATATGCAACGCTGATTACCGTAATATGTGTGGTATTTGTTATAAATGTACGTTGGTACATAGAGGGTGATAAGAAGCTGTACGTGGAGGGGCTTAGGACCCAGGGGAATGTAGGTGAAGGAAACCGCCAGAGTCTTACAAAATACCATGATATGCATTTTTGGTCATACCGCCCAGCCCTAGTGTGAACATGAACTGCACCAGAACTAAAATGCATCAACGTATCACTTGTTACCCCCCTAAGTCTGGATCAAATGAACCCAGCTACAGGTGTGAAAGCACCCTAAGATAGTGTTGTTGGTGTCTTTCAGTCAGTGATGGTAGTTCTCCTGTTCTGCCATATGTCAGTTCAGTTTGTTATTGTCCCACTGGGTGAACATCTGGCTTGCAGTGGAGCACAAACGAACAATGACAGTACTCACACAAACAACAAAGAGTTGTCATCATGATGTGTAAGACTTTAGCTGTGGCTCAGTGGGTCAGTCGTTCTTTGACCACAATGTTGGCGGTTTGATCCGAGGTTGCTCGTACGTATGTATATGACCATTCTAATAAAAGTGTTAGCAGTTAATGTAATGAATGTTTTAGATGTCCTTGTTTTACTTGGATTTTCTTAACTGGGGGTCTCAGGACTACGGTTGTCACAATACCAAAATGATGACTTCGATACGATACCTGCCATAAGTATCACGATACCCGATACTTACGATACGATACCAGAATTCGATACAATGCCACAAATACAATACTGGTATATTTATCTATAATAGTAATAAATAAAACATCTGTACGGTTCCCTTTTTTACCAGCTTGTTCCTGCCCAGCTTTTTGAACACTTAACAAATGGCATTAATATTAGTATTAGCCTACAGCAAGATATTAATGAAAACTACATGGTGCCATGATTGCTGCTGACTCTGCTGGCATCTGTCTGACTGGCTGTGGGAGTGGGTGGATAAACAATGCTTAATTTACTTGCATAGTGAGTTTGATATTTTCACTTCGTATTTTATCTTAATTCATGGAATAATTATTTTTTCCTTAACTAAAAATAAAAATAATTAGCTCAAGATCCACCCTCAGGCTCCACCAGCATGTAGCCATTTTGCATCAATTGTGTTTCATTTAGTACACTTTTGTGTGCATTGTGAGTTTGTGACCTCATGATCATATAGGCTTGTCCTCAAACTAGGCCAAGGCTACTCGTGTTAGCTGTCTATGGGTGAGCTTGGGGGTGTTCATGTTTATAATCACATTTGCTTACCTGTCGTTCTTTGAAAGGTTCGTGGTGTCTGTCTGAAAGGTGCTTTGCCATGTTAGACGTGTTACCTCACCGTCTGTGTGGCTTTGAAACACTTTTTGCAAACGGGTCTCTGTATGTCAGTGGGCTTTCCTTCACTGTCTGCAATATAGCTAAAGTACTTCCAGATGATACTTCTGGCATCTTGTTTTTCAACAAGCCGAGGAAGCTCCTGCCATGTCTCCCCTTCTATCACTCCCTGTGAGTGCGCGCTGCCTGTTGCTGTGTGAGCGCTGGGCAGCCCCGCCCCCTTGCAGTCAATGCCTGCAGGCAGCATGACAGTGAGCGGAGCAGCGAGTGCGCTCTGATCGCGCGCTGTTTTAATAAAGTATCGATACTAAAAATATGCAAAATCGTGTTGTTTTTAACGTACAGGTACCGCAGTACCTTTTTAGTATCGATACACCGTGCAACCCTACTCAAGACTAGGGTTGGCATAAAGTGGGGTTGGAGTTTCAGTAATAATTGATATTTTGTTGTGTCAATGCTCATTTACATTTACACGGGAAAATGACAAAATCACATTAATTTGCATTCGCAAATATGGGACGGATAATACAAAAGAATTATGATTACATTTTGAGAACGATATAAAAAACACGTAAACCAAAAGGAAAAATCTTTGGGGGAAAATTAATAAATAATTACATTAAATAAGATTGACAGAGATAAAATATTTGAATAAACTAAAATAAAGGAGACAAATTCAATCAGATTCTAGAAATAGGTGCGTATCACAGTTCTTCCTTATCTATCTAACTCTTTCCTGTTTTCCTGTCCACTACTCTTCTTTCACTCACATGTTCATTAGAATAATAAAACAGTGCAAGAATAAGCTAGTTCTTTAAATTATCCTATGTGGTGACATGGTGCAGGTTACCTTTACACCACCAGAGGGTGCCAGCGTATCACCCATAGTGACCAGAATTGACCATTGACTGCAGCCCAAATAATCTACAGAAGACCTTGCACACTATAATAGTCTCATCAATCATTGTATCAAATGCAGTTTTCCATTGTGACGGACTTCGCCACCTTTTATGTGATCTTCCAGTCAATGTTGATGTAAATGCTGTATTGACCAAGTAAAGCTGAGTTCTCCTGCTCGCTGAGCCGTGCCAGCAGTGCCTACATGTCAGTATAGGAACTCTGAGGAATTTATTGCTTCAATCTAATACGTTTACCATTAACACTAATTAAACATCCACATAATATGTGAGGGATTTTCTCTTTAAGGGTAAATATCTCCAATTAAGGCTGCCTTGTTTTCCAACAACACTTTAAAGTGTATCCTGTCAACCTCAATCAGTTTGAAGTGTGATCTCCGAGAAAGAAATACATTTTAGTTGTTTATATTCTAGAGAGTACAGCCTCATCAGGGTCCTTGGTCACTGCTTTGGAGACAACTGAATTAGACTTTCTGCATTACATCATTAATATTTGTCTCTTGTGTGTTACAGATAACTTTGGCTTTAAGCAGGAGGAGAGGTTTGATTGTGGAGCTAAATCTGGTGATGTGTTCGCAACTCAGAGGAGATTCCCCCAGGCACTGTTTTGGGACTATAAGGTACAGCACCTGTGGGGAGTAAAACGACGCAAAATCGTCTGCAGCGTTTAGACGGATATGAATGACGAACATCGCTAATGTCTTTCATGACGTGCACGACGTCTCCCCTCCAGACCATCGGAAGCGTTTTCCTGATGGTTTAAACAATTCTCTTCCCAGTGTTCCCGGTGTTCTCAGATTCAGTCTCAAAGTAGCCAAATCCTCAGTAGTCCTAATTGTATCCAGGTAACTCTAAATGATTGTGTGTTAATGATAGTTACCCGTGTTTCTCTCCCTCTTTTTCAACAGTTAAATTTGATTGGAGAAAGGGATGAAGTACCAATTCACTTTTGTGATAAATGTGGGCTTCCTATCCACCTATATGGACGAATGGTAGGTATTATCGCTGAACTGACCTTTCTCTGCAGGCAGACACAGAAATGTTCATGTGTAACTCTTGTTCTCTGACTCCTCAGATCCCCTGCAAACATGTGTTCTGTTATGACTGTGCTTTGCTTCATGAGAAGAAAGGAGATAAGATGTGCCCTGGGTGAGATTTCTGGAGACATTTTAACATTTCAATGTGTTTCAGTGGATATGGCAACTCCTTCCAGTTTTGACATCATTTATTATAAATGCAGGATCTTGAGTGGTGAACCGCTAGTGGTGTAACGGACTGTAGTTGATCTGTGATCATACGGTTCAGCACACATGTTAATTACACGTGCAGATTAAAGACAGTTTAACCATCGTAGTGTGAAATACGGTTTTACTGACACCCTAATAGCGCTTCATTGTGAACAAGTCCTTGTTTGAATGGGCAGGAGGAGAGATTATAACGTTGGCAGCACCTGAGCTAACAGCTAACATATGGCGGTTCTATTGAGTTACATTATGATGCATTCATGCTATATTCAGTAAAAATGAGTGTTGGGAGAAGGTCAATTATACGTCATCATGATGTGTTCGATTGTAATCATATACAATGTCGTATGTGGTGAGAAACTTAACAAGGCCAGTTGTTTGAAGGAGATGTTTTCACAGCAATATGAAATAGATATAAGAGATGGGTTTATGATCTGTTTAACATCCGAACACTAGCTCTAAGCACCTTATAAAAAGTAAAGCAATAACATATAGAATTTGTGATGGTCTTGTATAGCAGCTTAAAGTTCTATTTGCTCTGTGTTCAGCCTCACCATGTTCAACTGCACAGACCCGGTGCAGCGCATCGAGCAGAGCCTGCGTGGTTCCCTCTACATGTGCAGCGTCGTGCCTGGATGCAAGCGCACCTACCTGTCTCAGCGCGACCTGCAGGCCCACGTCAACCACCGCCACGTCAGAGTGGCCAAGTCGTCTGCCGGCCGACAGGAGCCCGTGCACCTGCCCCCCCAATCCGAGGTCTCCGACCGTTTCCGCGCGCATCCGCCTCACCTGCCCAAGAACCACGTTCACCTGCCCAACCCGCTCCAGCACAGCAGTCACGACCCCTACAGTCAGCCGCCCCCGCCCACAGCCCACGAAGCCCCGCCCCCGACCGCTCTCGGTCCCGAGACATTCCGCATCTCCACGGTGACGACCCGCAAGCACAGCAATCTCATCACCGTGCCCATCCAAGATGACTCTTCCTCTAGGGAGCCCCTCTCTGGTGGGCCGGGCCCCGCTCAGCCACCACACCACCACCCGGGAGACTATCCTGGTCAGCCCCCTGTAGTGTCCCACTCTCACCACATGATGGCCCCACCGCAGCAACACTTCGGCCCCCCACCTCCCCCGCCTCCTCCCATCAGCCACCCCATGCAGCACCCTCCCCAGGCCTCCGGTACGCCACACATGGTGTACAACCAGGCCCCTCCTCCCCCCATGTCCACAGCTCCTCCACCAATCACTCCGCCGCCAGGGCACATCATGGGCCCGATGCCCCCCTATATGAACCACCCGCCCCCAGGACCGCCACCACAACACAGTGGCCCCCCAGTCAACGCCCCCCCACCTCATCACTACAACCCCAACTCCATGCAGCAGTTCCCCGAAGACCAGGGAACCCTCAGTCCCCCTTTCAGCCAGCCAGGAGGGCTCAGTCCCGGGATGTGGCCCGCTCCGAGAGGGCCCCCACCACCACGAATGCAGGGTCCTCCCCAGGGCCAGATGCCTGGACCTCACCACCCAGATCAGGGCCGATACCGGCCTTATTATCAGTAAACTGCCAACTAAATGAACAGGCAACAACCTGCTTCATTCAGTTCCATGCCACGCGTCTGAATAATGTGATAGTAGACCTCAGGGTTTTAGGACTTTAATTTTGATAAGACATCCCCCCCCAAATGCAAATGTGTATGTGCTGCACATTTTAGTTAAATGTACTGAACCTCCCGCTGAACAATTGAATTGGAATAGACTTTGAGAGGAACAGCAATGTCCCTTTTTTTTCTTCTTTTTTTTATAGCTTATGGTAAATATTTCTGTATATATGTCAGCTGAATTCACACATATGTACTGTACATTGAAAGACGCCAACTATGTCTCAATAAATTTTTAACGGCAGATGTGCATCTCATCTCTGTTTGATATGACTGAAGGGTCACCAGCTGGTTTGTTGAGAACAATAATTAGCATTTAACATTCAAAGCTTTCTAAGAGGACATTTGGTTAAAACCGGTTTTATGAGGGAAGACCCTTCGAAAATAAAAAGAAATGTGTTACTTTATAAGACATTCTGTCCGTCCATAAGAAATGTGGTTCTTTCTAAGTTTACGTCCCCAGGTTGAAGTTGTAATTCTTGTCGTGTGTTTTTTGTCAGTTTGCTTTTCAATCAAAGTCAAATGAACACAACATGGTTCGCTTTAAAACGCCCTGTTTGAACTCTGTCCGGTGCGTAGAGACTACAGTTCTGCTGCTGTGTATCAGGGATCAGCTGATCCATTCTCAGCTGTTTGTCTGCAGGTCCTTTTTATCGCCAACCAACTTTGTTTAGAAAAAGGTTTCAAACCTAGTTCTGTGTCTCAATATTTGAAGTGCAGTGACGCCTTTGTTTATCTCAGCCTATAAATTTATCTTATGTTTATGAATAATTTGAATCGTCTTTGATAAACCTTCGGATAGTCCCAGTGGTTTGAACCCTGCTACACATTAGTGGAGTATTTGACACACTGAACACATTTATAACCTCATGCCAAAATATTTCATGTCCTCATTTTCAATAAAAATTATATTTATGTTATGCATTTATTTTTGGTAACTGTGTGTAAAAGGACAGTACAGTAGCAACAAGTAACAGACTGGATCACCTATAAAAACATCACTTCAATGGACTTTAACCGAAACAGCTTTTCAAAATATAACTCACTCACTGTATACACAAAATAGTTGTTTTAATAGTTGTTTTATTAATTGTGTTGTGGTAGCATGAAGAGAACAGCATTTCTATTAAAGGAATGTTCCTGGAGGCGGTTGCTCTCCTAGAGTTTGCTCTCTGTTAACTGCAACAAAACAAAGTGTGAGAGGTGGTAGTTTTCAATTATGACAGTCGTTGCATGCATAAAAAGGAAATATAAGTTTCTTTATGAATTGTATTTCACTTAATTTCTTTGATTTGTTTTTTAGTTCAGCTCTTTAAATCTTCCGTACTCATCAAATTATATCAAGGGAATTCAACTTTTCACTATAGTGACCTTTATGACCTCTCCTCCAAAGCCAACCGGAGTCTAAAGCTGACACCTTTAGCTCCATGACTGATCGTTTCTGTGCTGGGCTTCTGCATGCATATCTAGTTTTCTCAACAAGACGCTGGTATTTGTAGCGTAAATAGCTTCCCTTACCACGCAGCCTTGACTTTTGTCTAGCACATGCAGCATGGCGTCATGAAGGGTCGGGAAGAACATGGAGGTCAGAATCTCATCATCGAAGAACGTGCAGCTGTGTAGTTTCTCCAGGATGCACGCTGTCAACACACGGGAAATGTTCAGTTTTTTATTATTCACCTTGTGCTCAGTGTGCATGTGCTGTCACTGAATCTAAGATGAGACTCACCATCACAAGAAACAATGTAAACATCCACATCAACATGGATGAACTCTTTGAGTGCCTGTGGAGAATACAGAGAGTTGAGAAACTGTCAGTGTATAGAGTATAGAATTACGTAATGCAGCTGATGAGACATGTATACAATGGCTCTACTTTATTGCAGCGACAGTGCTGACCACCTACTTATTTGGGATCTTTTTGCATACGGTGAACAGTGATACAAGCGATCTTTGGGACAGTAGAGCGTTGCAACAAAAGAAAACAGCTCAGAAAACAGTTTGTTTACAGAAGTTGACTGTTATTTAAATTTGACCTTTGGATTGTACATATTGTTACGGCTGTCACTGCTGTATTACACTTCCTGCTTTTCGGTGGTGAACCGACGGAAGGCTTTTAGTATGAAAGTGCACCAGGAACAGCAGTTACAATTTATGATGGGCTGAAATAATTTATCAATGTATCGATCAGTTCATTGAAAGAAAATGAATGGGCAACAAACTATTTTTATACTTGAATAATTGTTTAAAGGTATAATGTCTAAAAACAACTACACCTGTGCTATATATTCTGTTGAGTTGTGTCATAATCCCAAATGTTTCAATAAATCTTCAAACCAAGGAAATCTCTAATTTGAACCAAGGTAACGGTTTCATTTGGTCAATGAGGTCATATCTTCTTTGTGCACGCGTCGGCATTGTGGTTGTCTATGAAGCTGTTGTTTTTAGTCAGTTTTAAGTCCCATTTTTACCATTTAGATCTTGGTCTTTTTTAAAATCTATATTCAAACCGGAAGATGGCTGTGAGTCATCGGACATCTGGATCTGAAGTTATCAGAGAAACAAGCTGAGCAAACGTCAGAGGCAGCTCCGCAGGGACATCCTGCTTCTGACTTTTAAAAATAAACTGCTTTGTTCAATTTTCCAGTTTTTAACGGTAAAAACTTTACTCGTCTTTCATTTTAAATAGAATTTTTGGGGTTTCAAATTTTGGCCAGGCAATTTGAACACGGCACCTTGGGGTTTGGGAAAACATTTTACAGAGCAAATGTCTAATTGAGAATATAATCTGTAGATTAATTGCAGCCCTAGTCGTATTCGTAGAGACTGCCACCTTCTCGGTCTACACAGCAACAAGTTGACATTAACATTTCAGTTTTAAATAATGTAAGGGAGGAGAAGTGAAAAAGCAGTCCCAGGGGACTGGTTGGATGAAAAGGTGGAGGTGGATACTGTGACATCCTACACTTTCTCCGTCACACGAGCATCTATTGAGCTCCAGTATGTTGGAGCCTGCTGAATGACTGTACCGCTTTGAGTCCCTTCAGAGCAGAGATGTCCAGGAAGGACACGGCAGAGAAGTCCAGGATCAGGCTGTGGAGGTCCACTCTGGGAACAGTGTCGTTACCGGGAAGCTCGGCTCTCCAGTCCATCCGGAAAGGAAGGTGCTTGAGGTCAGAGGGCTGATCCAGCTCCTCCGCGTCCATGCGAGACCCATCAGTCCTCTGGCGGAATAAATCCCTCAAGCCTCTCTGATTGACAGATGTAAGAAAGTGGGCTTAGAGCTTTTGGGGGAAGAACACTTTGAAGTAGTTTCTGGTATATTTGAGGTCTCACCTCTGTAACATCGTCCTCCTTTTTCAACAGTTTCTTGATTTCCCTGAGAGCCTTGTTCCTCTTTCTCAAAACCCTAAGCGGATTAAACCCAACCTGGAACAACAACGTGTTGATTATGTTCATACAAATGTATTTTCTGGGATGCAGAGTGGATGTGTCGTACATACAGCGTCTACCAGCTTGTCCCTGAAGAACTCAATATTGGCGAAGAAGATAGGCGAGGGTATCCTGAAGATTTTCACTCCCTTCGGTTCGAATGTCTGAGAAGGGAAGCGTCACGATAAAACAAATGTGATTCAGAGAGATGTCGCAACATGAACTGAAACTACTCAACAGTGTTTAACTTTTTTGATTTCATTTGATTTAACATGCTTACATGCATGTAGTCTTTGCGATCTTTGTAGAGGTCGGTCCCTGGGATGTTAGCTAGGATGGAACAGCGGGGGCTAAAAAGACATGAAGAGGTTTAAAATTGTTTTACAAAATACTAGAATTAAATATCCGTCAAATATTAGGCAGTAAAGGACACTGTTCTTTGTACTTTAAATACCAGGTATCTAGGAAAAACCCGTGGGGCTTAATTCATGTTTTTTGAGCTGCTGCTTGGAGTCCTTTTTCTTTTTTTTCATCAGTTTCCTGTTAAACTCGAGTCCCCACCTTTATGGAAGTCAAACAGTAAATTGGTGGATGCCCTTTTAAAGGGACGCAAAACTACTTTAACTGCTCTATGCAGGGTGTTGATAAGATTTTTTATCCACTGCTTTATATCTATTTTTTTCTCGTCATTATCTCCGCCAGATTATGTATTCAGTTGTGGATGTGCATCTCTGTGTCTGTCCATGGCTAATCCTGCATACTGGAGCCATCAGCCTGATATTAGTTGTGGTCATTTATGACTGTATGCTCAAGTACCTCCCTTTATTGTTGTGATTCACACTTTCTGAAAATGTATTGACAACAGATTTTATTGACTGTTGTAAAACGTTGCTGACGGCTGACTCTTTGCTACTTTTCTGCTGAGTGAAGCCAATGCAGAAGTGTCTTAAAACGTCCATTCTTGCTAATGGCCATCAGGGGGCGACTCCTCTGGTTGTATAGAAGAAGTCTATGAAAATGACTCTACTTCTCACTTGATTTATTACCTCAGTAAACATTGTGAACATGAGTTTATGGTCTCAATCTCTAGTTTCAAGTCTTCTTCAATACAGCATGATGTTCATTTAGTACATTATGGTCCATTTAGAGCAGAGGTAGCCAACAGCCCGCGGGCACCCTGTCAAGAGAGTTGGGTACCCGGAGGCGCACCGCACTAGGTTTTCAGGTTCCGAATGGCGGGCGCTTCCCGTTGGCGCCAGACGCGCGCCGCGAGCGCACCCCGTCGTCAGGTCCGTAAATCCTCGGAACAGGCCGCGGGGCAACAACTCAGGGGTGGCGGGGGTAGAGGCGAGGCAACGCAATCCGACCGAAAAGGCCCAGACTAGAGGTTTTGAACGCGGGCGCCCGAAGACGCTCGCGCGCCTCGGAGGGTTGGATCCCCCGCTCAGATATAGACGAGACTTTTTACTAGTTTCTTCGTGGAGAAAAAGGTAGCATTGGAAAAGCTGGTGTCGGTGACAACAGACGGGGCTCCGGCGATGACGGGCCGGCATGCAGGCTTCATTGCGCAATGCAAAGGTGACCCAGACTTCGCAAAATGTCTACATTACCACTGGATCATTCACCAGCAGGCGCTATGTGCAAAAGTAACCGGCTTTGATCATGTGATGATACAAAAATATCAGAGATGTGATACCTCTGACTTTCAAATGTTGAAACAGATTAACAGAAATAAAAGTTGCATGTTTAAATATGTATGTGTAGCTATACCATCATTGTTGTGGAAATCATTCTTAATAATTATTCTGAGGAATAATTAACTGACATGTGATAAAACAGTCTCTTCACATATATTATTATTATTATTATTATTATTAAAAGGTGATCTGTGCAACTTTGTTATTCAGGAAGTTTGTATCAAACAAGTAGCCCTTCGTACTACTCGGTACCCTTGAAGTAGCTCTCAGTTTAAAAAAGGTTGGTGACCCCTGATTTAGAGTCAAACAGACCATAAAGCAGGGGATGCTTTAGGGCAGACTTACCGTGATTGACAGGTCGCTGCCGCTACCAGAGCTATACATGGCGTCTCTACATCACTCCTTCACATTCCAAATATAGTAACTTCTGTTCATTGGTTGCAAAAAAACAAGATGGCGACGGCAATTATTTTGTAAAAGCACCAATAGTCAACCCTACGATTTTGTCGCAATATCGATATCGAGGTCAATATATTTTTGTCAAGAATGTGGTGATTTTCTCCATCCCTCAGCCCTATAACATGTATAGCAACACTGTTGAAAACATTGTTCTCCCATCATCAGGACATTGTGATTATACATGAGAGCACCACACAAGAGGACTGCCATCCATATGAAAACATCCACATCTGAATTGAACTTACTAACCCTACCAGCCTTTCACATATCTTTGTCATCAGCAATGAATTTAACAAATGCTGCGAAGGCAAACAAATACTAGCCAACACTTACTGCTAGTACCCCAAAGGTGGCACATGTGCCTAGGGTATCCTAGCTAAACACAGCCAACATGAAGCGTTACGCAGTGTAGTAACGCAGAGAGCTGCATAGATGGAAATGTATCTGTTGCATGAGACGTTCCTGTGAAAAACGTGTCTGATAAGTTTGCCGTCTGGCCTTTAATTCAGTCAGAAATTAATATCAGCCTTAACTTGTGTCCTTACAATTGAGTCCTGAAGACCACGGTGAGCAGTTCCACCCCCAGGCCCACTGCCAGACCAAGATCCAGTCCCAGCAGGGTGGCACCCACAAATGTTCCCATCCACACCACCTTTAAGACAAACAGCTGAGGTCAAACATTGAGAGAGAACAGACTGGGCTAAGTAAATAACCACATAAATACGGTACAGCTTGTCTTTGGCAGTGAACTATGAGACAACACCTACACATTCTGATTTGTCCCTCCTCCACAAGTACGGGATTTCTCTGAATTGCATCAACATGCCCTTCAGGTTGACGATGACCAAGGCACCCAGGACAGACTGGAGTGGGGGCAAATATTAAGGGTATATGTAAGGGGGAAAAAACTGACTTTTGACATAAAAATGTATATTAAACAAAACAATTAAAATGCTACACATATTGGCATAAGCCTTTACATTACAGAGATCAGTCTCACCGTGGGAAGTGGTTCCAGCAGGAAGCCAAGTGCCACGGTTACAATCATCGCCATCATGGCTGAGATCAGCCCTGCAATCTGCATTTGTAAAAAGTTAAATGTTTCAGCATGCCAATGGAAGAAAAGAATGTCATATAAACCAGATCGTAACGTTGCAGTAAACCTTTTTGGAGACAAAAATAGCTGCGTGTCGTGAGCTAGTAAAAGTTTGTGACCCAGGAAACAGTGAGGTTTGTTTTCTGACCTGTGTTTTGCCTCCCGAGCTCTCCTGCAAGGCCGTCCTGGAGAGCGCTGTGCTGGCTGCAAATGACCTGAAGCTTGCACCAAATATGTTGCTAACCCCAAATGCAATGAGCTCCTGGGATGGAAAGATTTTACCTTTTAATTTGACTTTAATAATTCAGTTTGACCTACTTTTATTCATGCAGCACAGGAAAGCTCACGTCCAACCATGAGATAAATGCAATATTCAACGTGATTTTATATCTTAATGACCAGAATTACGAGGAGTCTTATTCTCGTATACTCGCACGGTAGCTCACCTGGTTCCCATCAATGGTGTAATCATGTTTGATAGAGTAGACTTTGGCCACAGAGAAGGCAACAGCAAACCCCACTATGGCTACAGGAAAGGCCTCCACAGCACTCTCCTGGAGGATTTCCATGTTGGGCGCAATGGGAGACTCATACCTGCAAGATAAATTGTGCATTCGGATCTGAACAGTGGTGGACTGTAGCTGAGGACATGTCAAGTTCAAAAATAGTGGGAAATTCTGTCTGCTACAATTATCTGACAGCTGTGGTTACTTTTCATATTCAGACTGTACAAATGTGGGAAAACCCTTTAATAAGTAAAGGAGTTCTAAATGACCTGAGAAAACAGCAGCCTGCCTGATTTTGACCTATAATCTACTGAAGACGTGTAGAATTGATACTTACCCACTAACCATTTTGCCAACAACATCAACATCATATCTCGTCTCGAAGTTGAACCCATAGGACACGCCACAAGCTATGACGGTCTGTGTTAGGCAGCAAAGACACCAGAGAGACAAACAATTTTCAAATCCCAGGTATTCCTTGAATGCTGTGTCATTACCACACACTGATGGTTTTAACTAACACATAAACTGTTATGCTTGGGAAAATAGTTTGTAAAATATATGTGTGTTCCAGTTGATAAATTAAACTGTGCAGGAGGCGTGTCTTCCTTTATAGGGGACATATCATGCTCATGGTCCCACTAGACCATGTTTACATGCTTTAATGTTCAAAAAACACATTCTTTTTCTCATACTGTCCGTCTGAATGTACCTGTATATCCCCTCTTTCTGAGGGGCCTGTCTCTTTAAGCCCCCCCCCCGAAGTCCAGCCTGCTCTGATTGGCTTGCCAGAAAAATATGGTTGTCCTTTGCAATAGTAGTTCTCAAGACTTGGGTGGTTTATTCTAATGAGCTTGCATGTATTGTATGATGGGGAGCAAAATCTGAATATCTTATAGAATCACATTTCTTCTGATATGGGAAGCCCACAAAAGGCATGCTAGTCTTATTTCACAGTTTGTGGGTTGGCAGGTACTCCAGACACCCAAATATAAGTGCACAAGAACTGAAAAAGTGAGCTTTTCATGATATGTCCCCCTTTAAAGTTTCCCTCACCATGACAACTTCAATGGGGATGGGAACAGGCAGCTTGGCTTTGTATTTGTCATTGAGCTCCTTCACGATGAACACCACCACCATGATCAGTATGGACATCACCAGGTCACAGATGTTGGTGGAGGTGATCTGGACAAAGATCTTCTCCAGGGTCTGCGCAAAAGAAGCAAACACTGTTTACTCAGCAGAAATGATCACTTTATCCAAACTAGGTGTTGAGATACTGCGAATCTTTGCCAACATCCTAAAACAACGGAGCTGAGTGGAATTTACCCGCCAGTTTAAGCTAGCTGTCTAGTTTTGCTTGTGCTCAGAACAACTGTTGGCTGTTCTACAAATTAGTTTCCAGAGGATGTAACAAATGCCATGGAAGTTAGCAAATAAAAACATGAGCTTAATTCCTTGCTTTTAAAGGAATACTTTGATATTTTGGGAAATACTAATAATATTTTCTGTGAAGCAAAATGGGACGACAATCTGCTTTTCGTTTTGCAGCCCTGTTGTACAATGACAGTAAAATAACCTTGAAACCTTCTTCAAAGTTGAAACCTCAACTTTCTTGCTATGAGAAAGACAATTGGCACCATTCTTATGTCCGTGTGGTAAATATGAAGCAACGGCTGGCAGCCGGTTAGCTTCATTTAACCTAAAGACTACGGATGAAACAAACAAGATACAAAATGTGAATTGGTGGATTTTAGAGGTGCTGGTAGGTCCTGGACAGAGTCAGGCTAGCTGTGCTAATTATTGTGCTAAGCTACACTAACTGGCTGCTCTTCATACAGCACAAACTCTTGACATACACGTATTTCCAAAAATATCAAACAATGACGAAAACATTTGGAGTTGCCAATCTCCGCTAGTTCCAAATTTAAAATTGCATAGACAATATTACCAACACTGTCAGACACATCCTGGACTTACATATATGACAGAGAGTGGACCGCTGATGCCTGGGACGGTCAGCCCTAACACAAACTTGAGCTGGGACACCAGGATGTGGACGGCAGCTGCTGTGGTGAAGCCGGACACCAGAGTGTCGGACAGGTACACAACAATAAAGCCCACCTGCAGAACGCCCATTGCCAGCTGCATAGGACAGGAAAAAAATGAGAAGAAGAAGCTTGAAAATTCTTCTTAGAACACGCAGTATGCTATGCTATGCTATGCTATGGAGTCAGATCTACCTGGAATATCCCCATAAGAAAGGTCACAGAGGAGGCCACCAGGACTCTCTGCTGGTCCTGGGTCAGGCCCTCAAAGCCAGTGATGTTGGCTGGTGGTCCTTCCTTTGGGACCAGGCGAGTCACCACAGCTCCCACCATCAGGCTCAGGACTGGGAAAGAGCCTGTGGGTGTGGAAGGGTGGGGAGACACTGTTAAGCCATATTACACTAAATCTTATCTCCTCTTGTCAAGATGATAAGATCCATAACTTTTCTCAACAGGCCTTTTAAAGTGAGATGTTTATGCTTGATAACAGAAAAACTGTTTTAAACTTGGGACAGTTGAGGACAGCTTGTGAAGAAAAAAATTGTGGTAAACAAAGAGCTACACATTTAGGAAAATAAGCAGTTTTTTACTTGTTATAGAGAAAAAATATATATTTTATAGTGACTCAGCATTGCATGACATACCTACAGATATATGTCTTGAAGTACCGAGGAAGAAGTATGTTAGCATGGGGAAGAAAGCTGTGTAGAGGCCGTAGCTCGCAGGCAGCGAGGCCATCAGAGAGAAGGCCAGTCCTGAGTGAGACCACAGCAAAACAACACACAATGAAGATTTTAACAATGGGTATTTTGCATGTCAAATAAAGAAAAAATAGGTAACTAAAAGAAGCAAAATCAGTGACCAATACTTATTTTTGAATGTCAGTATTTAAATTAGATTGAAACGTCTGGTAGATAAAATTTGGTGTAGACCATATAGACTGTATATAACAAGTGGATGTAGTCACAGTGACTTCACCCGTTGGTTTGTAGGCTGCTGTTTTAATGCCTCAAGTTTTGTCCATCTTGTTTTTTTGCAACCAGAAGAGACACAAGAGGGTGGTGCGACCGAACGCTGAATAAGACATTTATGGGTGAACAGAATGTTACAATTAACTTTCATGAAGTGAAAACATAGTGTGAAGACGAAAACACGGACAATCCCCAGACCAGACAACACCACGGTAGCAACCTGTCAATCACCGTGTAGCCCCGCCCCAAAGCATCCCCTGCTTTATGGTCTGTTTGACTCTAAATGGACCATAATTTACTAAATGTACATCATGCTGTATTGAAGAAGACTTGAAACTAGAGATTGAGACCATAAACTCATGTTTACAATGTTTACTGAGGTAATAAATCAAGAGAGAAGTAGAGTCATTTTCTCATAGACTTCTATACAACCAGAGGAGTCGCCCCCTGGTGGTCACTAGAGAGAATGCAGCTTTAAGACTCTTCAGCATTGGCTTCCCTTTTCAGACCCGGAGGTTGACCAGACAGTTGACCAAAACACTCAAGAGTGTGCTTTACTTTGTATTTAGTTGACACTTTTTATTTAGTAGATGCTTGTAATGACTATGCAAGTGTATTAAACTTACTTATCTATTCTATACAGCTGTTCTTGCACTTCCTTACCTATGCTACTATGACTTGTTCATTTCCCTGTGTGGGATCCATAAAGTTTCATCTTATCTAAAACTTAATCTCTTAGATGCAGCAATGATTTTAATTGCTGTTGCAAGCAGCCATATGAGAAGTCCTCTTACATACAACACTGTCTGAAATGAGCAAAATGCTAATTTAAAAAAGGAAATATCTTGTTGACGATTACTTCAATGGGTAAAATAATCTGAACACAAAATTCATATTTTGCGTTGATATGCAGTGTTTCTAAGTCAGCAATCTACATTCTTAGGCAATATTCCGTGAAAATGTTGATAGGGTACAGCAAAAGTAAGGGTGCAGGTCTAGATAATAGATGCATGTATAAGTCAACAGTATTTTTCTTAAGGAAGCATTGCCACAATTCTTTCACTGAAGTTGGCCAAATGGATTTAGTTTTTCGGAATGCACCAATAATGCTACTACAGACTGAAGCTCTCACCTTGCATAATGGCCACCATGCCAGTGCTGATCCCAGACACCACATCGCCCAGCAGCCACTCTCTGACTCTGTAGATCCTCATCCAGCCGATGATGGGCAGAAGAGAGAGCGCCGCATTCTTGGCACGTTTCGAATCACAGCTGGATTTAACAGATATAAAAAAAAGCTCTAGCACTTTGTTTCCTAAAGTTAGCAAAGAATTTCCCTCACAATTTTTACTAAACCCTCAGTCATAGACATTTGTTTTGCTGGAGATTTAAAAACAAAGATTAAGTCAGATCAAAGACGAGGATCTGAATCTCTAAAGAAGCAGGGTTCTCTTACGTCAGGTACTCTCTCGCATGGTCCAGGATGGTTTTGCGTAGCCTGTAGACTTTCTCATGATCTTCAGCCAAGCTGTCCTCTGAGTACACGGGTCTGGCCACCGCATATTGTTTCCTCAACGTCACCATCCTCACACCTCAGGTGCCGAGGAATGCCGGTCTAATGTCAAAGGTTCTGGAGGAAAGATCCCGAAGAGAACCTTTGCCCGTATCGTTCCTGTGGCCGTGCGTCCTGTGAGGTTTATCTGAGTGTATCTAATCTGAGATCAATCTCATCCCTGGTCACTTGGTTCCTTTCAATCATTAACACAGATTTTATGATTCATTGTGTTGATATTTCATCTCATATTCCTTCCGTTCTTTAGTGAAGACACCTTCAAGCTGAGATCATGGATGAGAGGTATCCCAACATGTTGAGATTGTTGTTGTTTAGTTAGTTTCGGGGAGCAATTTCAGTTTGAAATGTTCATTTTCTTTTAGAAGTTTGCCTTTTACATATTCTAAGACTGAAAATTCAGTTTAGGAAAACAAAATGTACTCATTCCATAGTCAGTGGGAGTTTAAATGAAAACGGACACGGCAGGTTGGTTTCCTGAAGTTTGTCAAAAAACGGAAGCAATGAGAGTAAGAAATGCGGAGATACTTAGGTGAACTTGCAACAGTTGCACAGCTTTGCTACGCGGTCATATTTGACAGTATTGGTCTTAATGGTGCAGCAGCCAATTTAAGAACATCTATTGAACATCGCCATTTCTTTCGGCATGGCAACATTTTTCAAACACGTGGAGTCCACCGGTGGTGACATCACAGCAGTCTCATATCAAGGTAGACTTTATCACACCAAGTTTTATCATAAGGTGTCGGGCCAAAGAGAATATTAGTGGGTGCCATATCATTTCTATTTTATAACTTTCAGATTTTGAAAAGTCTGTGATCAATCCACAATCAAGACCTTCTTCATCAAGGGGTACAGCAACCTTTACCTTAGCTCAAGTAGGAGACAGACAGGAGATATTACGATATTATTATAGGCTCAAGTTTCCTCTGTGGTACTCTGATTAAACAACAACAGAACAAAAGGATAACTGAAAAATAAGTTTAAAAAAAGAACAGATTTTTAATACAGAGATCGTTGTTCTGACATAGCTTCAACATCACGTAGTAAAGCAGGAATCCCATTGAAGCTCCAGGAAACTTGGTTTGTTAGTATTTCTCTATAACATTGATATTAGATACTAAGTTACTGCCTTTTATGTAAACACTACGTACATTTCCCCAAATTTTAACCTAACTTGCTATTTAGTTATCAACATATGATATCATAGAGAAATACTTCAAACTAAGCTTTCAGGGGCTTTAAGGCCCTTATCATGTCCGCTGATATTGAGGTTTTGGTGGTGCATATTCCCAGATTCTCAAACGAGGTTAGACGTTAATCAACAAACCAGTGCAACACAGTAAACTTACAAATACAAATACACAGAAACATTGAAGGCCATCATTTACGGTGATGAAAGATTTATTCTCAATCTTTTTCACATTACTTTAGAGAACAGTGTGCCAGTATTTATTCTCAATATCATAAAATATAACTATACAACATGTAAAATATATTGCATCTACATTTCCTACAAATCCACTATATACAGTACAATTATACATACAGTATAAAAAACATCAATACCATGGAATTTCTTTTTACATTACAGTAGATACCAGTGGCGGGCCGTGCATTTTATACCTGGGCCTTCAGTGCTGTCCTGCAGCTGAAACACCTCCTAATGACCTCATTATGACGCCACAGCTACGGTTATTTTTTCCATTGGTGTAACATCACGTATTCGTATTAAACCGTTCGGTACGAGGCTTACAAACCGAACAATACGTTTGAATAATACTAGTGCATTTGGAAAATGCAGAAGCTTAAATTGTGGGAAATATAATGTTTTCGGTGGACTGTGCTCACGTAGGAGACGACGGGCTGTGACCTCTGAACCCGGAAGAAAACAAAAGACAGCTGAGGCTTCTGGGAGGCTACGCTAAACTAGCTTAACAAACAATAACTCCACGCATGACGCTATGCTTCGTAATTAACGGACAATGCATACAGTCTAAATCTATATAATTAACACAATGACAACAACAAACTCACAAGAACCAGTCACATATATTCATATGACAACAGAGCAACAAATCAACCCAGCAGACCTGCAGCGGAACACGCATTCTGCTACACACTCAAGGGCCATTCAGATATTAGATGTAAAAACAAACGCAGTTGACTTAAAGACAAACTCCATCCTCCTTTCTTTGTTGACAAGGAGTTTCATCTCACGGTTAAATCCCAACTCACTAATCCGTTTCTCCTCCTTCAGCCATTGAGTGTTAAAAAAACAAAGCAGGTAAAATAATAATAAACTACACCAAGCAAAATGCAAAAACAAAAATCATAATTTCTTCCATATCTTTCAATTTGAACTCTTACTACTCCAACTAAGCATTGCCTGTTTCCTTAAGTTTAGTTTCACAATAGTCACGTGCTCGCCCACTGACCAATCACAGCACACGCTGCACCTCACTGCAGAGCTGCACCTGCACACTGAGCTGCACGTAATGCTGACGTACTTGTAGGCCAGCTAGCAGGCTCTGGCACGTCAAAGAATACGCCCAACATGTCAAACTAAAGATCTGATTGGTTGAACACTATGACAATCAACGATATCGTCCCCATTCACTTAAAGTGCAAAGGGATGCACGTGAGAGTCTGCAGGCCTCTGCCTCTCTTCTTACCTAGAGACACAGAGGTGAAATCTGATTGGATAAAAGCTCTACTTAAAACAAGCTGCACTGGAAGCAGAGCAACTGAGGAAGACAGTAGCTGTGCAATGAGAAAATAAGATAATGGGGACAATATTATAATACATGTAGTGTATTTATGAACAATTATTAAATTATAAAATAGCTATAACTTTGTGATTCTGTTTAGGCCAGCAGAGAAGGCTTTGAAGGCCCTGACGGCCCACCACTGGTAGATACTGTATATGTAAACTTAGATCAGCAAATGTATAAAAACAGTATCGCGTTATTCGCTACATCAGTGTATTGCAGCCTACAGCATAATCTGTAAAACAATTACTCTTTTTGTCTGTGGGGTTCTTTTGGTCTTTGGTTTTGGTGTTTTCTTTTCAGAAATCCTCGTCTTCTCATTCAGAAGTTAGAACCTGGTTTCTGGATCTGCAGCCTGTGGGTGAAGAAGGCACTCAGAGTTATTGAAGATGTGTTCCATCACAGCTTAAAGTGGCACATTTAGGTCCTGTCCAGTCCAGATATTTTTTTAAACCGAGTTTTTTCCTCTATGTTTTAAAATAAAATTCTGTCCACACAACTTTGGTATTACAAAAGATCTCCGTCCACACAAGAACACAAAAACGACTGTAGGTGGCAATAAAGGCTACGTCAACGATACGTCCTATACCCTATAAGAAGTAAAGCAATAGCTAATTGTTTCTTTTTTTGTACAAACTTGATATTTGGTGCCATGGCGAAAACTAAAATTGACTCGTGTGTGGATGGACGACCAGGTGGAGTTGCTCCTTAGAGTCACTTTGCAATTGTTATGAACCCTCCTTTCCACCAGGGGTCTGTGTCCTGTTTGCTGTCTCTTTTCTATCTTTCAGGATGTTGATCATCAGCTGATGAGCCACACCTGAGCCTGGTGAGGTTCCAGCTTAAAGTCTCTCCACCTGAACATTGAGGGTCTCTTCCTTGGCTGACACGGCTGCTGTTTAGTTTAGTTTGTTTCAGACATATGACTGATTACTGACTCTACTTGTTTGTTTTGTTTAGTTAATGTTGTCCTTCAAATAAATGTGTTTTATTTTGAGCCAGGTTGTAACACAATATAAGGCGATGAAAGCCCAAGAAAACGTTGATTGTGAGTCTGGCTGTATGAAAATATTCTGACATCTCGGCGGCCTTTCAGGAACGGTATCCTGCCAATGAAGACTCTGAAAAGGTGAGGAAGTGGGCATGCGCAACATGGGGGAGATGACATCATCGTTTCCCAAACGCTCATTTTTACATGTCCAAACGGATACAAAGTAACTGTTTAAAAAAAATGAACATCTTAAAATGTGCGTGTGGACGAGAGACCAAATGATTTGTTAAAAAAATCTTTGTGTAGACGGGGACTAAAAGTGGCAATGAACAAGTTTTACATTTTTTTGCTTTAACTAATTGGTATGAATAAAGTGTTGATTGCACCATATAATGGCTAATGATGCCATCAGCATTTAGTTTGGTTCCCTACCAGCTATCGCACAACCAAGGAGGATAGCGCTTCTGTTTTTCCAGTCAGGTACAGGTAGCGCAAACGGCGGTGGAACAACTGGAGTAAATTGTAATATTACGTCCTTGATAAAGTTTGGGGAAGAAGGGGGGCGAGTGTAGTTGAAAACTTGTCTATTGCCACTTTAAAAAGAGAATATGTCTGGGTGTAAAGATGTCCAAGTCTGGTGCATTTTGTAGTTTTTGTCTGTTGATCAAATAGGCTTGTCCCACAAAAATAAACCAAATTAGATTAAACAAAATAAATATAATCAAAATAAATTTTAAAATTGCAAATTGCACGCAGTATAGCATATGATACATACATTTCTGTCTCTGCTCCTCAAGCTGCCTCCAGGGTGATGAACTGTGACCGTTGTTATAATCTGCAGAGCATCATGAAGCGTTTATTATTCTGTGCCCTAAAGGCTCCTCCGTACATTAATATTATTGTATAATGCTTTCTTTCTCTAAGTGAATACGCCCCTTTCTTACCCTGTTAAAGTCCGATTTCTTCTCTGTGGACCCTGGATGTTTCTCCAGGATGTGCAGCATGGCGTCGTGCAGAGTCAGGTAGAACATTGACGACTGAACTTCGTCGTCAAAGAAGCAACAGTCATGCAGTTTCTCCAGGATGTAAGCTACAGCAGGAGGTTAGTCACACTTGGAGCTATACGCATGCTTTTCTTTGAATACATAATTTACACGTTTAAATTTAAATTACTATTTTTTCGTGTATATTGGAAGTGACAAAAGCAACTTTTAACTTTAAATACTGTAGTTTTATACTCACGTTCACAAGCCACAATGTAAACCTCAACTTCGACCCGGATCAGCTCTTTCAGCATCTGTCGAACAATAAACCAAATTAGAATAAATGAAAATAATTATATTGGAGTAAATAATATAATGGATTAAATGAAAATAAACATAATAAAAAAAGATAGAAAATAATAGATTAAAAAAAAGAATAGCCTAATGTGCAAAGTAACTGCTTCTGTTGCTGCCGTGATCGAATGTCTCACCGTTTTCAGTCCCTTCAGAGCGGAGATGTCCAGAAAGGAGACGGCGGCAAAGTCCAGGACCAGGCTGTGGACGTCCACTCTGGGAACAACGATGTTGGAGGGAAGCTCGGCGCTCCAGTCGATCCGGGCCGGAAGGTCCTTGAAGTCAGTGGGCAGGTCCAGCTCCTCCATGTCGCTCTTATCCTCTGACTCCTTGATGGGTTGACCTGAGGTGTTCAGGAAGCCTTTCTGTAATGGAATGAAATACAGTTCGTACACTTTCTCTCTTGTCTTTGATTCACACACAGCCGCGGCACATCTCATTACACGATGGGTGAAAGACAAAGGAGTGCTGCCTGGGACAGTGTTGGCAGCATTGCAACCTTCGACATTCAGGAAGGTTAATCTACTTCCAACTTCGGGACAAATAGGATTACTTTATTATTTTACCCAAACATGAGGGGGGGAGGGGGATTATACTTATTGAGGTATATAACTGTACTTTGAAATATTCTACTATAGACTCAGCTTTTATACTCCAACAGATGCAATCATAACCTGCATGTTGTAAACGCGGTGTGACTATCGTAAACCAAACAACAAACCGTCTGCACAACACATCGTATCAGGTTCACACATTTACTAGTATCTGAGATAAGTGGAGGTGAACTTTGCCCCATCTGCTGAGCAAATGCTATCGCTCTCCAAATCTTTTAAACTAAAGAGTTTCGGCATCAATATGTTAATGCATATATATATTTCTTGTTTTTCTACACTGCTGATTTGAATTGATGTCAAACCAGAACAGGAAGGGACAACAACAACAGCATGAAGAAGAGTGAAAGTGTTTTGCTGTTGTCACTGAACAAGGTCAAAGTCATTACTCACTGATGTCCACTGAAGGTCTCCCTTATTTAGAAGTCTCCGGATCATCCTCAGTGCTTTGTTCCTCTTTCTCAACACTCTGAGCGGGTTAAATCCAACCTGGGAACACATTGGTGTGAATGAGATTGTGTGTTGCAAACTGACTTGTCTAAGTTCAGCATTTTGGACATTAGTTGTTATTTGTGACATTTCTTTTTATCACATCAGTCAGTTAATATTAATAATAACTTTATTTATACAGCCCCTCTAAAAACAGTTTACAAAGTGCTTTGACAGATAAAGCAAGGCAACACAAAGCAATAAAACGGAAAGCTCAACAGTGAGGCCCAACAAAGCAAGACCAACTAAGATAAGAGTTGAACCCTGATAACAGTACAATAGATGAAACAAAGAACAGAACAATCAATACAAACTAAGAAATAAATAAATACTTATAAAAATATTTTGTGCCATCCAACAGTTGATATCACTAAGGCAGTCTAAAACAGCAGCTAGGCTTCTCGGGTCACCGGGTCTCAAGGGAAGGAATATCTGTGTGTCGTCTGCGTAGCGATGAAAAGAGACATTGTGACGTTGGATGATTTGACCAAGTGGGAGCATGTATATGGAAAATCAAATTTGACCTAAAATTGAGCCTTGCCGTTCACCACAGGTAATGTAAGATGTAGAGGACGAGAAATGACCTATTGTGACTGAATAGCTTCTATCTGAAAGGTCAGAATAAAACCAACTCAGTGCAGTGATACCAACCCAGGCTTTAAGATGGTTGATTCAAATGGTTACTGTGTCAAAGGCTGCACTTGGGTCTAAAGGAATTCAAATCGAGCACTCCACCTGTCGGCTTCATTGGATTGAAGCTCCTAAACCGTTTGCTGAAATGAAGTTTGAGAAGAAGCAAGTTTTTCCTTCTTTAACTGCTTTTGCTAAATCTCTATTGAATCTTTCCAAATCTCATAAAATGTTTTTTTCCTTTCCCCTACAGTCTCTCTTTAATTCTTGGGTGGATTTCTTTAGTCAGGGCTGGGTGTTCTATTTGACTTTTAGTCTTTCAAGGGGGCAACAGAGTCCAGGACACTCTGACGGGTGTGATTAAAAAGGGAGACCAGCTCCTCTAAGTTAAAATGAAGATTAAAGGCCCTTTAAAAAGTAATGATAAAAAGCTTAGAAAACTTGCTTGCAGACATAGAGTTAAAACCACATTTAAAAAAAGTTCAGTTGTCGCTTTTGTACTCACAGCTTCCACCACCTTGCTCCTGAAGAACTCAATGTTGGCAAAGAAGATTGGTGATGGTATCCTGAAGATCTTCACTCCCTCAGGCTCATATATCTGGAGAGAGTAATGACCATTATACCCAAACCTAAACTCTCTTGACTTTAAAATGCACAGGGATGATTCTTATCAACTCTCTGGTTCCCAGAAAAACTACAAGACATTTGTATGACATCCCTCCTCTTGCTCATTCCAAATGAATGAAAAAAATGAATGAAATAAAAATGTAAAAACCCTCTAAATCCTACACTCTGATATTTGTCCAATAAATATGTAGCTAGAACCAGTAGCTGGCTAGCTTAGCTTTGCACAAAGACCGGATACAATATTAAGAAAAAGTTCATCAGACTGTAAAACAAACAAAAACCCTACTAGCTCCTCTGAAGCTCACTAATGAACACATAATAAATCTTGTATTTTAGCTAACTAACATAGCCTTATATGTTGCCGGTATGGAAATGGTATCATTTTTCTCATCTAACTCTCTCCCAGAAAGCGAATAAGCATACTAAAATGTTAAACTATTCCTTAAACAGTACTTACAGAAGACACCTGATATGACAGAACACACACACACACACACACTTACATCAACATAATCTTTTCTGTCTTTGTAGATATCAGTTCCTTTGATGTTGGCCAGCACACTGCAGCGAGGGCTGGGGAAAAAAAGAAGAAAAGATATCAACTGCTCAGGAAACAGTTCACACATTCCATTTATCAAGTAGATACTTACAACTGAGCCCTGAGGACCACACTGATCAGCTCCACACCGAGGCCTGCAGCCAATCCCAGGTCCAGCCCCAGCAAAATGGCTGCAATACAGGTAGCCAGCCACACCACCTGGATGTAGATGATGGTAACAAATGGCAATATAGCATCTTTTTGTTTTTATTCTCGGTAGCACAAAAATACTATAATAAACATTCAAATGCAAAGATGTTTGGCTTTTAAAACTATCTTTGTGAGTCAGTGTGTGAGAACGTACACAGTCTGGCTTGTCCCTCCTCCACAGGTACGGGATGTCTCTGACCTGCATCAACATGCCCTTCAGGTTGACGATGACCACAGCACCCAGCACAGACTGGTACAATAAGGGGTCAAAGATCAGATTTCAGCCAGTCCAGAATCCGAAGACTCCACTTGCATGTTGGTAGAAGATCTGAGATTTACCTTTGGGAGCGGCTCCAATAGGAATCCAATGGCCAGTGTGACGATCATCACTATGAGAGCTGACAGTAAACCAGCCACCTGAAAAAGGACAGAGCAGGTCTGTGAAACTACAGATACTTGGTTCCCTGTGCTGCAACATGTTGGTCCCAGTTTGTTATATCTCAAAATAAAAGTCTCTTTTATTTCACCGTCCTGTTATAAACACATGAGATTATTAGTCGAGTATCATACCCCCCCCCGCCCAAACACTAGAGGTCATAATAATAATAATAATAATTATATAGTCCGGTTATGTAAAATCTATTTTAGCAAAAGAAAGTTCTCATAGAGTGTTAGGGATGACGTGTTTTTGTAGGCCAACCCATAAATTAGCATCGCGCTGGTTCCTGTTTACAGTCTTTGTGCTAAGCTAAGCTAATCAGCTGCTAGTTCTAGCTAACGTGACATATCTAACATGGGAGTGGTATCCATCTTCTCACTGCCTATCTATTCTACTATGTACTGTACGTGAGTAAATGTACTATAGATACATTCTATGCTGGTAATGCAATAAAACTTAAACTTGGCTCAAACTCACTGGATTTTGTCTCAGATCTAAATAAAACTTGTCTGGGGGAAGATGTTTTTGGTTTGTGTTCGGGGTTGATAGGGTTAACATCGTTTGTGCACAGGCCTACAGTTATCGCCAGCCAAAGGGTAAAAGTTGCGATTAGGGTCAAGGGTCAACAGTGAGGTTGGGGTCAGGATAAATTAAGGTTTAGATTAAGGTAAATAAGCATTTGGAGGTAGTTTACCTGAGTCTTACCACCTGTGCTCTCCTGCACTGCGCTCCTGGAGAGGGCTGTACTCGCAGCAAAAGACTTGAAGGAAGCTCCAAAGATGTTGCTGGCTCCAAAAGCTATCAGCTCCTACAGAAAACCAGACTTTTCATTTCAATCCTGATTTAACATTTTTACTTTACGCTCTTACGTGGCAGATTTTAGCGTTATCGCATACCTGGTTTCCGTCTATGGTGTAATCGTGTTTCACAGAATAGACTTTTGCCACGGAGAAGGCAACAGCGAAACCCACTATGGCCATGGGAAACGCCTCCACTGCTGTCTCCTGGAAGATGTGCAGGTTTGGTGCCATTGGAGGCTCGTACCTGAGAACAGATGTAAGTCTGTTGTGCTAAAATGTTTCTGTAGTAGTCAACAAAAAACAATTTCAATTCCACCTCAGATAACAAAGTTCACACACGTGTCACACCAATACTGATACATGTCTATTGCTGTTTTTTTACACCCTCATTATCTTTGCACTGTGAGTGTCATGGTCCATGAATAAGTCGGCTCTGACAGATAGTGAGAGACCCAGAAACAAATGTGTTTCTAAATGTTTTCCTGAAGCAGTTGCATTGAGCCCTAACGGCTGTTTGAGAGAGAATTTTTCATGTATCTCTCAAGTAAAATGAATAGGGAACTGAGATGCTTAAAAACACAGTAACTAACTTCTAGTAGTTAGTTTTTTTATTATTTGTCTAGATTTTGAAATTGCAGTACAAAAGCCTGAAATTTATCCCTGCACCTGGAGCATCAGTTAAAAAAATTACGTTTTAAAACCTGAAATGTAATTTTTCTATGTGTGTCATTGACATGGCTGCAGCTGCGGCACCACAAATATAAAAAGTGAAAAAAGTTTGATATCATTTGGCATGATGGATAACAGCAGGAGCACCGATGGCAAGTTCAACATTTCGGTCTGGGTCTAGTCCTATTGTCTAGAGGGTGCTAGGCCTTCAAGCTTAATTATCCCTGATGGCATTGCTATGCACATAACATACAAAATCCCTCGCTTTTAGCTGAAATGTCTCACCCTTTTGGAATATGGCCGACAACATCAATGCCGTATCTTGTCTTGAAGTCAAACGCGTATGAAACTCCACATGCAATGACAGTCTGGAGGAGAGAAGACACGAGTCGTCAGGGCCCGACCCATTGGATTCATGGCAAAATGAGAGATCTTCATTAACTCCCGCTGATGTGAGCTGTTTCCTTGAACTGACATGAACGCGTGTCATAAATGATCTCATCCGATTAATGATTGTTACAGACGGCACTCTTCAGGCTATTGAGAAATATCAGTGTAGCTCACCATGATAACCTCTATGGGGATGGGCACCGGCAGCTTGGATTTGAATCGGTCGTTCAGCTCCTTCACGACGAACACCACCACCATGATCACCAGGGAGATCACCACGTCGCACATGTTGGTGGAGGTGATCGTATTGAAGATGATCTCCAGGGTCTGAAAGACACCCAAAAAAACTAAAAGTCTAACAGATGAATGCAGACAGTGATGAACAGCGAGGAGGCTGCTCCATACTCACATATACAAGCGAGAGTGGACCACTGATGCCTGGGACGGTCAGCCCTAACACAAACTTGAGCTGGGACACCAGTATGTGGACCGCAGCTGCCGTGGTGAAGCCGGACACCAGAGTGTCGGACAGGTACATGACAACGAAGCCCACCTGCAGAACGCCCATCCCCAGCTGGAGGAGACAGAGAGGTGGGGGGGGATGATGTGGTGGTATATGAAAAAAACATTATGACTTCAGTGGTCAGAGGGTTTACAATGGATCTGGGAGGAGACTCAGACCCAGATAAAGTGTGTTTCACCTGCATGATACCGGCGAGGAAGCTCACAGAAGAAGCCACCAAGACTCTCTGTTCATCTCTGGTGAGGCCTTCAAAGCCTGTGATGTTGAGGGGCGGACCCTCATCCGGGACCATCCTGGTGACCACCGAGCCGATCATCAGACACAAGACTGGGAACGGACCTGTGGAGGGAGGGAGAGAGAGAGAGAGAGAGAGAATAGCAGATTAGCAGAGCTGTAGCCTTTAGAGAGCACCTATGGCCGGGAATACACGCACACACACGCACACACACACATAGTGGCCTTACCCACTGAGATGTGTCGGGAGGTGCCCAGGAAAAAGTAAACGATGACAGGGAAGAAGGCGGAGAAGAGTCCGTACCAGGGAGGCAGAGAGGCCAGCAGACAGTAGGCCAGACCTGGAACACAAAGATATGCACATAGAACACACATTCACTTGACGTCGCTGACCGTTGCTAGCTACGGTTTCCATATCACCCGCACTTATAGTTTCAGTACCTACAAAACTAAGGTGAAAATTAAAACGAACAAAGGTTGATCTCTTTCAAATATATCGCCCCTGTAAAAATAGAATGTTTCAGATTTTTGCTTTTGGTTATGTGTGTAGTGAAGAAGATATAATTTAAAAATGTATGTTGGAAGATGTGAAAGAAATATATCATGTATACACAGTACATTTATAGAAGAAGTTTATTAGTATTATCACATTTTATGAATATTAATAAAGCACCTATTGTAAAATAAATTACTATTAAAATGAATAATAATAAATGCTAAATAACCTTAACCTGAACTAAAGGTAATTGGCTACAGGCTATATATAAATATAGTAAGTCAGTAGTATACTACTGACTTACTATGTTTATATATATATAGATATATATATAAAAACAAATAAAAGCTTTGTTTGTGTAATAAGCTAACCAGAGAGGTGGTTATCATATATTATAAGATTAGACACAAGAGTAAATGATAAAATAGTTCCGATAAGGAGGGAAATCAAAATAATGTAGGCTGAAGCCAAACAATTTCAAAGATTTTTTAAACACATATACAATATAAAAATGTTACCATATATTCTTTTAATTACCTTTCATTTTTATAAGGTGACATTTACAGCTGCTGATTCTGTGCAGAAGTAAAAAGAAAAAAAGAATTGTCCTCTTCTATTAAAACAAGTTGACCCCCATGAATGATGTGGGAGGCAAATCAGTAACAAGATTCTACAGATCTCCCCTCCCTTGGAATGTTCACACACATAGAGTTTTTGGTTTTTTTCTTCTACCGATACCAACGCTATGCGATTGAAGATGCATTTGTCTCCTCCCTTTGGTTAGGTCATGCAGTGAGAATGAGGCCCTCTGATAAAAAAAACCTTTCATCTTCATTTCTCTATCAGGCCGGTCGGCGTGTGTTTCCAGCATAACGTGCATAATTTCTCTGCTCTCCTTCCAATGTGGAAGGACCGCTGACATCACAGTCCTTGTCACTGTTAACTACTGGTCTGTGGACGGCTGCAGAGATATGATGTGCCAATAATTTGGGACTTTTAGACACTGTGCAGAGATGCATCACCCATCCAGGTTGTGTCAAAATGTGATTACTGGTATCAGATTTATATATATTAGATATAGACTCAGGTATTGTCCAGTGTGACTTTCTACCTGTTGTTTTCCATATATGCCACTGATGTGAGAATAGAGAATTGTATTTGAGCTGTTAAGATATGTTTGAAGGACTTAAATCTTCACTTTGCACTCAGACGCTTTGAAGTGAAACACTTTGCAGGCAGCGAACGCTCACCTTGCAGGACAGCCACCAGTCCGGTGCTGACGCCGGACACGATGTCACTGAGCAGCCACTCTTTGATCCGGTAGATCTTTATCCAGCCAATGACCGGCAGGAGAGACAGAGCCGCGTTCTTGGCTCGTTTGGCGTCACATCTGTGCAACGGCACAATAGCAGAAAGAAATAGAAAATCCATGTTAAATAGATAGTGGGTTGAACACTCACTGCCTCTACAGCTCCAGGTTTGTCCACCTGCTGAAATCTTTGACAAAAACAGACTGAAGATCTTCAATAAAGAGAACGGGGTCAGATGGGCCACTTTTCAAACTTTTTCTGCGACTATGACAAACTAAAGAAATACATTGTTAGCATACTTACCTTACTGGACAACTTCTCTCAAGAATCTCACAAGTAATTAAAAATTTTCCCAAACCTTGAGCGTGAAACCTCTAGCAAGGTTTCACGCTCCTCGTCCTTGTCTCTAGGAGTTTAGAATGAGGACCAAAAGTGAGTACAGGTGATCAACAATGTGCTGGATCCGTTTGGTTCTTCACTTTACAAAAATAAATAACATCTCTTATGTGTTATATACATACTTATGCATTGTGCTGTGCTAGTCATTTTTCTATTAAAGTAAGTGGAGCTTTGATTTTACTTCTCACATCAACCATCGTAATTTGACCTTAAGTTAAACAGTTGAAATTGAGCCAAAAGTTAAAGTAAACGTAGGTTTTAATACTGTGTGTAAAGTAGAAGAAGTACCACTCAAGAACCAAGAACAGACTGATTCAGGGGTCTCAAACTCAAGGCCCGCGGCCCGAATCCGGCCCGCCACGTCATTTTATGTGGCCCGCGAATCCGCCAGCAAAAAAAAACAATTTAAAGTTAGACTTGATAATAAAAATATCCCCATAGTCGAAATTATGAGATAGAAAGTCGAAGTTATGAGATAGAAAGTCATAATTATGATAGAAAGTCATAATTATGATAGAAAGTCAAAATTATGAGATACTTAAACACACAGTCATAAGCAGCTCTTTGGCTGGTTACTGTACATTTGACATGGAAATGTATTGTGAGTACATTGAAGACTACTTTAAACGTGGCTTTACAACACATGAAATACTTCAGTATTACTTCAGTAATACTTCAGATTGTGCAAACGCACCCTTGAAAGGATTTTAAGCATTGAACAAAGTTATTGTAATAACTTGTTTGATATTTGTCTTTGCTATTTTCTTTAATAGTTTGATCATTGATAGAGTAATGTGGGTTTCTTAACTCTAAATTAAAAGGATTTAAGTTATAATAACAGAAATGTGCTTAAATATATTTTTCCATTTATATAACTGCATGTACAATATTTTTACATTTGAATAAACAATAATCAAATGCAGAGACAGCTATTTACCAATATGTTAGGAGTAGTTACATTTACACCGTCTTACATTTACAACCGGCCCTTTGTGGGTAACTGTGATGCTGATGTGGCCCAGAGTGAAAATTAGTTTGACACCCCTGGATTAAACCCTTTAACTTCTCCCACTTCTCCTGTTAAATTCATCATCTTAAACTCCATAAAGGCAAGACTTCAAGTGTTAAATTGTGCAGCGATGACAAATCAAAAAGCATTGCACGCCCCTTACGTGAAGTACTGCTTGAAGTGGTCCATCATGGTCTTGCGGTGCCTGTAGACCATCTCGTGGTGCTCTGCGAAGGACTCCTCCGAGTACAGTGGCCTGGCCACCACGTACTGCTGAGCTCCCCGTCGTATCATCTCGCCTCTGCTTCCCTCTGAGCACCGCTGCTTCCCTCTATGTGGCTCTGAGATCCAATAATCACATTAGGGTTAGGAAGATCGTCCTGTGTTGCCTTTGAACATCACTTACTTAACAACGTTAACAGAAAACAACAAAGGTCCAGGCTCCTCAAATGGAGGCAGGGCACATGAGCCAGGTCGGGACCTGCACCGTCCTGTGGGAAGGGTGGTGGGTGGTGGGGGTGGGTGTCAGGCTCTGTTTCAGCTCTAGAAACAAGAGCACTGGATCCGCCGAGATCAACCGGAGCCCGAAGTACACCAGCACCTCTGGAATTCCGGCTCCTTTTAAAGATCCTCTGATTTCAAGGATTTTGTAGCATTTTTCTTTCTACAAGTACAGCAGTATGTCCCACATACATGACGGTGTCCTAAACTGTCTCCAATGCAGACTCTCCACTCCTCTATTCGTCCTCCTGCCGCTCCAGGAGATCAACTGGGACCTCTGACAGCTTAGCCATCAATAAATGCCACCTCTGCCGCTTATCACAACTGTAATTATTAACAGCAATTATGATGAAGTCCCCGTTTCGCGCAGTGACTGGATGCCTGGCTTATCCTTGACCATTGTTCTCACTGATATCTGTAACCTGCAACTTTCAGTGGAGACTTTCCGCCCACGAAGAGCATTAGGAAGATATTGTACCGATGGGCAGGATAGGGAGGATGTGGACAGGGACAGGATCAGGACAGGACAGGGCAGGTCATTGTTATGAAGTGGAAATCAAGTAGCTTTTTAGGATGGAAACACTGCTAAAGGTCGGCTGAGGCGCTCTTGCACCTCAAGGGTAAAAATAGTCCGCAGCAGCCGAGGTTGTTTGAGGAAAAAAGAAATCCAAGAGTTGTATTCCAAGATTCATATATCCAGGGTGTGATAAGACACACTGATACCCTGATGATCAGATTCTCCCCATGAACGTTAAATGCATCACATGTCAATCCGTGAGTCCTCTTAAAACCGGACCGACCTTTTAGGTTTTTGCTTTTTGAATGGAAAAAAGGGAAAGTCTTCCTTCAAGTTCAAGGCAAAACTGACCCAACTAATTAACTAGAGAGCAGAAACTGTGTGTGTGTGTAGGGGGGGGGGTTTCAGTGCAGTCTTATCGAAGTGTCTACCCAGAATAAAGTGGAAGTAATGCCTGTACATGTTGTTTGTCCAGGATCAAGCACAGTTCAGGCCGGGTGCATGGGAGATGTGCGAACACATGTGTATATTTGTGCCCATGTGTGTATTTTCGACTGTGGATGGGTGCTTTGTTTTCTTACTCATTGAAACAGTAACCCCTGGGTAAAACCCACAGCACATACAAATGACTATAATAAACCGGTGTGATCTGATTCCAGGCTTTGATCGGGTGGTTTCAGCCAGCCTTTGTTCTATTGCACCACACTCAGTGATGGATGACAGCGCAACGATTGATATCTATTGGAACGCTGCTCAATGATCTGCTGTAGATTACACCAAGGTCAGCCACTTTCCACTTGGCATGAATTTATTATTTCCATTGATTAAATAAGAGACTGAAGGAAAAAATGTGTGCGTGGTGGACCGTGTGGGCATGTGCATTCACTGTGTGCCAAATTAGTAAACTTAAAATGTTAACAACACATATAAATATCTTTCAAATTCAGATTTGAGCTCAGTGGCGGCTGGTGGAAAATGTTCTAGGTAGGGCCATCCTATCAATTTCAGCAAACATCCCAGTATGATTTAATGCAAAAGAATTAAAGTATCAAACACGCATTGCTACTTTGCAGTTAAATATTTAACATTTATTCCAACACGAAAAAAAGCAGTAAATAACACTTATATAATATAATATAACATGTGTATTTATTGAGATGCCCTATGGACCTTGTTATAGGAGGTAAAGATCAGGAGAAGTAAACATGAAGTGTAAATATGAATACTGATGTTAAATTAAGCTATGATGAGTTTTCACTGTTAATTTACCATCTCAGTTACATGTTGATGTCTCCATGACCAAGTTAAGCAGATGAGACTGAGGACAACTATGTAGAAGAAAAGATGTTCACTTTGCCTAATATGTAGCTTGACAGAGTTCTCCATGTGTGCCCTGGTGTTCTCATGTTTCCTTACCTCCTCATCCCTCACTCCTGTAACTGTCCGTGCTGGATCTGTCCCCGTTGTTTTAAAAAGCTAAATAAGTTATTAGCATGACGTCATCCAGCTACCCAAACCTGTCTGGTGTACAGCTACAGAAGCTTCGCATTTACTGCTTCCCTTTCCCTTTCCAAAATCTTTTTGGCCCCACACTGAATCTATTTGAGGGCGCTGATTGGCTAAATTGTATGTCACTCATTTATATCTTTAATCAGCAATTGGCTAAACTGCTTCATAGACCCGCCTCTTATGGGCCAAAACGATTTGGCCCCCTAGCTGTGCGTTCTGAGACGTGTTGTGCACACAGGCGGAGAGGACGAGCAGGAAAAGCATATATTTTGCGCAGATATCATATTTTACACATATTACTGGGTACATTCCATAGGTCAAAAACACAAATATTGACAATTTGTATAATTTATGATTATTATAATTTTTTTTTTTGTGTGGCTCAAGGTGGGGCCAGGCCCCATGGCCCTCTATTGGCCAGCCGCCACTGCTTGAGCTACTTGAGCTTTGTTTGACCCAGCAGCAGCAGTGAAAGCGGTGTACCTCAAAGAGAAGTGAGGCCCTGTTCTCAGAACTGTCAGCACACTGGAGTTTGCAGGCCTGATGTAACAACTCAATTTGTGCATTTGTGGATCATCAAATAGTATTTACCCTGTGCATGTGAGCCATATTCCTTTCTTATCAGACAGGACAGAATGTACTCTCACTACAAACAACTGCCAAACAGAAAATTTCAGAGGACAAGAACAACTTGCAACTTCAGCACACAGAGTGTCCTGGACTGTCCTGCTGACGTGAGCAGTATGTGGCAGACTGAGAAAAACATACACTGTCTAATTGTCTACTGCTACTATTTGAGAATGAAAGCGAGGCATTTGGGACTTGTTGTCCAACAGGGAAAGACAGAGAAAACGGAAGAGACAGAAACATTTGACAAGCCCAAAGTGGCACTAGTTTTTAGACGTGGAGTTCAGTTTGTCATGGAGAGTACTACACAATCTGTGAAAACAGTTAGTTTAAACAGCATAGTATCGTCTGTAGCTCTGGAGGAGTTTTCTTAAGTCTGAGAAAATAACCCTGATGATGTCATCAGAGTGTTCTCTGCTTGGGCTTGGAGATGACACATTTTTAATAGAAAAACGCTCTTCACAAACTGAGGCGCGGAGTTTGAAAGACGTGGGCTTTTACCAAACAGGGGAATTCTTAATGAATGCACTTTTGAGTTGCATTGTGGGAAATGAAGGATCCAATGTTTTTGGAGCTTACAGGGACTAAAAGTCAAGATCTCTTTTTTATTTTTTTTGCAAGTCTCATAACATTTTGCAAGTTTGAAACTAAATTCCTGGAGTGCCTCTTTATAATATTGTTGTATAAAGAGTATACTCGTCAAAAACAAAAAAATTGGCTACATAACTTTTATGCTCTATACTGAGAACCAAAGTGCACATTTCATATACCACCAATGGAAGTGAAATGAAAGCTGTAAAGCATAAAAGCTCTTCATAAAGGAAGTTTTTAACATTATGAAGCAGTAAAGGGAGTGCACCTTTTACCTCGTCATTCCTGATTTAAATGGAATACCACTGTGAACAAGCATCGTCATTTGATCATGGCATTATCATTAGCTAGTAATAAATATACGAGTGTAATATTATATTGTATTCTAACCCCTTAACAAAGTAGTAGAAATACAGCTTAGTTTTACAATAGTGTTAGTTTAGGTCATAAAAATAGAGGAGTAAAACGGAAATTCATATTCAAATCCACGTAAGAGGGTGGTCAGAGCGGCGGCCATTTTTATATGCATCATTGCCATTGCGACCGTTGTAGCGGGCTAACTTATACTTAACTGTATAAACTAAACCATCTTATGGCAAGTCACAGACTCACTGAGGTGAGGTTTTGCAGTAACGACTACAACGAGCGGTTGAGTAGTAACGTTACGAAGCGCAGAGAGCCTGAGTAAATGAATAACATGTAACAAATAAATGCTTCACCAAAACAGTCTTGTCACAGCAATAGAAAGCACATTGCTATTGCCAGAAGACTTTGTTGGTATCATTCTCCTGTAACCAGTGTAGCATTAAAGCATGGTGGAATTAGCAAGCTAGCTAATTAGCTGGCTGGTGGCCAGTGGCAGAGCTGGGTCCAACGCTCCCTCTGCCTCACACCCCGTGACTCCGTGTATCCTAGTCCGGAGTTGCGTCCGCTCTCTTCCTGAGATCACAGTTTGCAAAGGGATCTCACAGAAATACGTGAAATGACCTCGACTTCTTAACAGTGTATTACATGCTAGTGATGCGTAATGTGTTAAAAAGAGTGTTAAGGAAAAGATCACATGGAAATACAGGATGCTGTAAAACATCAGCTATCTGAGTATTAACAACACCTATCGCTCCATTGTACACTGCTTTCTACTGAGAGGAGGGTAGGAAGTTCACTCACACATACAGTTTTGATTAGACAGATAGAAATGTTGAGAGAAATATACAGTTAAGATTCCCAAATAATGACCCACGATACATATTTGACTAAAAAAAATACAGTCAGGAAATGAATCAATGATAATTGTTCCTTTAAGTGGCGGCTGGCCAATAGAGGACCATGGGGCCTGGCCCCACCTTGAGCCACACAAAAAAAAAAAAAAAATTATAATAATCATAAATTATACAAATTGTCAATATTTGTGTTTTTGAACTATGGAATGTACCCAGTAATATGTGTAAAATACGATATCTGAGCAAAATATATGCTTTTCCTGCTCGTCCTCTCCGCCTGTGTGCACAACACGTCTCAGAACGCGCAGCTAGGGGGGCCAAATCGTTTTGGCCCATAAGAGGCGGGTCTATGAAGCAGTTTAGCCAATTGCTGATTAAAGATATAAATGAGGGACATACAATTTAGCCAATCAGCGTCCTCAAATACATTCAGTGTGGGGCCAAAAAGATTTTGCCCCCTTAGCTGCGTGTTCTCGTCAGGAGAAGTCTCTACAGGCGAGCGCGAGCGCCAGTGCGAGCACTACTCCTCCAAGTCTCGTTTGAGAGGAGAACTTTGGCGGAGATTCTGCAGGCCAACGAGCTGATCCCAGATCAGCCTGACCTCACAATCAGACAGCAGACTGGCGGGAAAGGGAAGCAGTAAATGCGAAGCTTCTGTAGCTGTACACCAGACAGGTTTGGCTAGCTGGATGACGTCATGCTAATAACTTATTTAGCTTTTTAAAACAACGGGGACAGATCCAGCACGGACAGTTACAGGAGTGAGGGATGAGGAGGTAAGGAAACATGAGAACACCAGA